AATTAAGCACCAGAATGGACAAATTTGTTATTAAGGGAGAAAAACGAAAATTGGAAAATGCCAGCCAAGGAACACATACAAACAAGAATAGTCGTAGCATCAGCAGTGAAGGAGAGTGCTGGACTTTCGGCATCAACTTTCGGTTTGCCCTGCCACTCACTTGAAAATGTTCAGGCAAAAGGAAACACCCATACTACGCAGCAATCATCCTTAATTGCAGAAATGTGGCAAAACATCTCTGAGTCTGGAGAGAACCTCAGATTATTAAATTTGAAAGTGCTTTCCCATATTTGGATCAACATAGGCTACAACTGTGAACGCACATTTTCTGCAATGTCGCGCATCAAGTCACACTTCCGTGCACGTATTACAGACTGCAACTTACAATCGCAACTTCATTGTGCTGTTACTCCTTTCGAGACGAATTTCACAAAATTGGTCAGCTCCCGAGTCCCGACAGCATCAGGTATCTTATTAATGGTGAGTAGAATTATTTATGTATTTCAATAAATGTAATCATTTAGATATCATAATATTTAGGCTATAATATTATAAATCTGGTTGGTTTGTATTGGTGATGTAATATGTAAATGATATGCGGCCTGTGAGACTTGGACCATAGTGCGGCCCAGTGGAAAAAAAGGTTGAGAACCACTGCTCTAACCAGTATGCATGTTTGTTTTGGTCATGGTGACCTTATCCTGGTGCAGCGTGATCTTTGCATGCTGTTAAAGGTAATAATTGTCACTCAATTTTACAACCTGCAGTTTTTAAAATAAGCACACTAGGGTTTGCACTAGGTGTTCTTGAATCTCATTTGGCAGAGCAGGATGCTGGTCAAGGTCGTAAGAGTTTGAATGTGAGAGAACACATTGACTGTGTATCTTGAATGCACTGCTTTGAATGAAATTGTATATAAAATATGCAAATAAATTATGCAAATGTAGCCTAAATGTTATGTTCAAGGAAAGTTTCTTGTAGGTATTGAGGGCAGTTGGCTGGACAAATGTTGATATTTAATTTGTTAGTAAATTCTGGTTTGGCTTTCCTATTTGGGTTGAGTCACTATGTTGCATGAACATTCTAGCTTTAATTGCTCTTCTTATTTTATAAATCACCTCTGTCCCAGGGACATCTTTGAAGCAACCACTTGCATGCCATTGGCTGACTTTTCGTATCTTGGTTGTCAGTTTGAAAAAGGGTTTGTCATCATAACATTACAAAGGTCAGATTTTGTCATTTATAATTATTTTATTTTTGAATGTCAGATTTACACCAGATGTTTACTATTATGAAAAACCTTCAATATGTGGCTGAAAAGTTACTGTTATCAAAAAATTGTTGTGGGGATCCTCTTCAAAATGTTGTGTTAAGCAGACATTTAAATTCTGGGTATGGCACCTGTTATCTCAGCTCCCAGGAATCTTTACTCAGATGTCCAACCTTATAAAGTTACATGGCAAAGAAATGTGCGTATGATTAATTATTTTCTTCCAGCTAATTATTTAATCCAGTCGTAAAAGGCGAGACCTTTCTGAGTGGCTCTTTTTTTTTTTTTTTCATGTTTCAAAACAAGTCCCCAGTTATCTTTAACTCCCGACCCTTTTAATTTCGGATCTGGCTAAATTTATTAGGTGACAGCTAGCAGAGGTATATTTAGAACACAGGTGGTCATGAGAGCCTTCCTGCCCTGCAGTTCCTCTCCAGTCAAGTGCAGAACCGAGGCAGAACAAAGCCTGTCCAGTCCTTTAAAAACACTCACCTGTCAAAAACAGGTTCAGCCCCACCAACAGGAAGACACCTGCAGACCTGTTCAATGAACTAACACTCCTGCACTCTTTGAGTATTGGCCATGTCATTCAAACTGTATTTGGTTTTCTGTCCAAATGAAATCCTAAAATATATGAGTGTGAGAGTGTTAATGTGTCTGGTCATTTTGGATCTTAAACATAGTTTAAAAAAGATCATATTGAAATTTTCACAAGGCAAAACTAATGGCCCCAGTTGTGCTGCCAAGACATGATCTAGAAAGTGTGTGTTGGTGCTGCCAGTGTGGCATTTGCTGCCCACTGGCATTAGCGGAACGTGCCACAGGAGCCCTTGTGCAGAGGTTGCTTGAGCACAGCTGAGTGGGGCAGAGGGGAAGTGTTACATATCACTTCTTACCTTCAATAAACATTGCCTTCATTTAGCAGCTGAAGTTCTGTTCATAGCTCCCTGAAAACTTTAGAACCTGAGTTCATTAGAATCTGGAGAGTTCTAGTAAGGAAAGGACGTGACGTGTGGCCAAGTATGGTGTCCCATACTTGGAATTTGTGCTCTGCATTTAACCCATCCAAGTGCACACACACAGCAGTGAGTAGTGAACAAACACGCACACACCCACCGTGAACACGCACCCGGAGCAGTGGGCAGCCAATGCTGCGGCACCTGGGGAGCAGTTGGGGATTCGGTGCCTTGCTCAAGGGTCTCACCTCGTCGTCGTGGTATTGAGGGTGGAGAGAGCGCTGGATATTCACTCCCCCACCTACAATCCCTGCCGGACCTGAGACTCGAACCCGCGACCTTCGGGCTACAAGTACCAGCACGACTAACATAGTAAAGGTTAGACTCTTATTGTTCCTCTTGTGATTAGGGTTGTTTGTATAAAATAATTGGCTTAGAGTGCTGGAACGCTTAGGCTGTTGAAAATACCTGTTTGGTTCAGGTTAAGAACAGTCTGCTGGGTAAACAATCGGTGGAGGATTCTAGAGCCCAAGAGTTTCAGATTGTTTACTGTGGACGTTGAGCTATTGGCCACAGCCACTTTTTATCACCCCCTTTTTTTTGTTTTTTAAATGTCAGTGTAGGGCCATCACTGGGGGGGTCAAGAGGTAGAGTCTGCTTATTAGGCATAGTGGAAAGGGTGCCCATCCATAAACAAAATGTCCCAGGACCTGTGAATTTTCAACAGACCTTAAACATAATTTTTTTTTTATTTTAAGCTGTATTTTTAATAAGTATTATAAATTTAGTCCAAAATATTTCCAAAAATTCATTAATTCATTCATTCATGTTTAATTCCAGAATGAATGATTTTTAATCATTCTAGAATGTTTAATATGCTGCTGAACAGCCTTCAGCTTTGACAGTGTTCACAATATACCGTTTCGTTCCGTACTGCTTAAATAGATTCCTGTATGATTTTTCTCAATGATTGTAATCTGCAATTTCTGCCATGATGAGAGTTCTGGCCCAGATGAGTCATGTGTTGTGTTTGTTTGATCACTTGGAACACTTGTCCTGGATGATGTCATTTGCATTTAATCCTTCAATTAATTGGTCTTTTTGAAGTCAAGCTAGGACTTCTGGGGAAAAAAAACTTTTGCTGAATGCCTATTGTGTAAACCTGTTTACAAACAAGCCTTGTTGATCACAGAGTCTTGTTAATTCAGGAGCTGTTGGTGAATACTAGCACAGTAAGGTTGTTTCATTCATTTTTCTCTTTCTCCGCTCCATGTTTGCTGTCTTAAATTTGTCTTAAGGAACAAAAATTACAGAGCAAAATAAAAACATATTGCCAGCAGTCCAGATTAGTGTACATTCATAGGTCGGAGTATCTATATTTACCCCAGAGCCAACACAGCACCTGAAAACACACTGCACTAGTGGGCAGAGAGGCCTATCCAACCTTCAAGCTTTAGGTAAAAGGATTTGGCTCAAGATGTGCTAAACCCTCAACAAGCGTGGCAGTGGTAACTAAGGGGTGGCAGTCTGTGGTGAGTCTGTTTTCTTATCTGTAACATGATTTACATGGTTTAGGTATCAGAATGATAACCTCATGAAGAAAAAAAGTTGCTTGTCTAAATTTAGGTTTTTTTCTCCACTGTTGAGCAAATGTTCTGTTGCTGATCTGCTGCACATTTCTAAGGGACCTGTTTCTTTGAACTTTATGAATTCCAACGTTTTTGTATCAAAATAAAATCTTTAGAGACCCTATATTTAAAGGAACAGTTCACCCAATAATGAAAATTCATTGTTTATTCAGCCTCATATCATGACTTTCTTCTGCTGGACACAAAAGTAGATATTTTGGAGAATGTATCCAAACAACACTGAATACATTCTGTCTTGTAAACTTTTTATGGGAGTACTTTCTTTGTGTTCTTGTTGCAGTGTGGGAATGAAGTGTGTGTTGTATCTCAACCAGCCCCTAAAACATTAGACATGAGTGTACGTGGTGATACCTATTAGGTTCATTGGCCATGCTATTTTTATATTGGGATGGAGAGAGAGAGAGAGAGAGAGAGAGGTGGGGGGGGACTGGTTTCCTCCTAAGAGCATTATGAGTGCATTTGTTTGTGACATTACCAGAGTGTGCTGTCACTGTCATATGGCAAGCCAAGGCAGCCTTGACTGGTTTAGAGCAGAGACGGTTATTCTGGATCGCAACTGTTCACCCTCCACTGTTCCCAGCAGAGTCCTGGGCTTAATCCTGAGCGGAACGCAGCCTGTCACAGAGGTAAAGGGGGGGACAACTCTCTCGAGTCATGGGGGTGATCAGACACAATCGTTCCGCATGATTTTCTCTCACGTATTATTGGGGAAACGGTGTGTAACTGAGGTTTCTTTGCATTTTGCTTCTTTCTCTCCTTTTTTCTTGAACTAAGTGGTGTGATACTTTGTTTTTGATGTGTCTACTGCATGAAGTTTAGGTGAATTTTCTGTCTTGTTAAATGTTATGATTAAGTGTCTCATTGTTTGCGAAGTCGGCACAGGTGAACTCTGCTTTCTCCGCTGTCAAAATATCTGCTGTTAATAGTCTGCAATTCTGAGTTTGTGTTCCATGTATCGTTTTTAAAGAGATATTTCACCCAAAAATGAAAATGATCATTTACTCACCCTTATGTAGTTCCAAACGTGTGAGTTTATTTCTTCTGTGGAACACAAAAGATGGAATACATTCTGTCTTGTAAACTTTTTATGGGAGTACTTTCTTTGTGTTCTTGTTGCAGTGTGGGAATGAAGTGTGTGTTGTATCTCAACCAGCCCCTAAAACATTAGACATGAGTGTACGTGGTGATACCTATTAGGTTCATTGGCCATGCTATTTTTATATTGGGATGGAGAGAGAGAGAGAGAGAGAGAGAGGGGGGGGGGGACTGGTCTCCACTCCTCCTAAGAGCATTACGAGTGCATTTGTTTGTGACATTAGCAGAGTGTGCTGTCACTGTCATATGGCAAGCCAAGGCAGCCTCAACTGGTTTAGAGCAGAGACGGTTATTCTGGATCGCAACTGTTCACCCTCCACTGTTCCCAGCAGAGTCCTGGGCTTAATCCTGAGCGGAACGCAGCCTGTCACAGAGGTAAAGGGGGGGACAACTCTCTCGAGTCATGGGGGTGATCAGACACAATCGTTCCGCATGATTTTCTCTCACGTATTATTGGGGAAACGGTGTGTAACTGAGGTTTCTTTGCATTTTGCTTCTTTCTCTCCTTTTTTCTTGAACTAAGTGGTGTGATACTTTGTTTTTGATGTGTCTACTGCATGAAGTTTAGGTGAATTTTCTGTCTTGTTAAATGTTATGATTAAGTGTCTCATTGTTTGCGAAGTCGGCACAGGTGAACTCTGCTTTCTCCGCTGTCAAAATATCTGCTGTTAATAGTCTGCAATTCTGAGTTTGTGTTCCATGTATCGTTTTTAAAGAGATATTTCACCCAAAAATGAAAATGATCATTTACTCACCCTTATGTAGTTCCAAACGTGTGAGTTTATTTCTTCTGTGGAACACAAAAGATGGTGTTAGACAACAGACATAATTTTTTATATTTAATAAAGTGAATGGTGACTGAGACTAGCTAATATCTTTATATCTTTATAGGTCATAAGTGATGATTTTATTTTGGGGTGAACTAGGCTATGCCTTTAATTAGAACACCAATGAGTTTGTTTCATATTCTGCTTCTATTGTGTTGTCTGATGTATCGAGTATCATCATAATTAGTGATTGAAGAACATATTTGTTGTTTTAACTAATTTGTCCATTTTAATGCTACATTTATTTTCATTAAATTCAGGTTTCTCTTTTGTATTATTCACCTTTTTCTAAATAGATGTAATGTTTCTACATTTTCTTAAATTTTTCTTGAAAGATGACATAATCAGCGACTTCTGCTTGTATGGCTTTGTCTGATGTCTTGAATATCATCATTTGTGATTTAGTAACATATTTTTTGTTACCTATTTCATACCTATTTGTCCATTAAAAATCCAAAATCCTTTGTCTATAGACATGATGTTTATGCATTTTCTTTGAAACTTCTCTTAGAAGGTTCTGAAGAACTTTAAGAGGAATAATATATTATATTAACAATAAACAATTTAATATTTATAGATTGGTATGTGATTGTCTAAAATGGTAATTTTTCTTTGTCTTGTTCTCTTAACAGCTTTCTTCTCCAGCTTCTTGTTCGTTAATGGAGTTCCGGCAGGGCAGCGGTGATTACTGCCACGCCCAACATCGCAATGCTTGATCACGGGTGGATATGCCCGAAATCTGCCACTGAATGTTCGGAGAAAACGCCTTCTCTGCTTTTCTCTTGCTGGTCTTTCTGACTGATCACTTTGCTGTGCGCCAAATGGGTTAATTGGCATCGTGGCACCTGGCATTTAGCTACCGGACACTGTTCCACCCGTCTAGCTGCCCGGCAGAGTATCCCTATCAAGAGGAAGAGGCAGATTTGTTGGAAGAGGAAGACTTTGTGGCCTCTATTTACCAAGAAAGGCAGCTTTCAATTTTATGTACTGATTAGAAGTGATTTATCACAGAGGATCCTGCAAATCCCTGACACCTTCACTGTGATAGTGCATCTGCTGTAGAACTGCTCTAGGTCAGAGTAGTGCCATACTGTGAGTGGAGCTGTGTGGATCCTGGCCTGGATTGGGTGCTCTTTTCTTCTGTAGAGTGGAGGGACACCAGCATGGCCAAGATGAACCGTCCGGCTCCTGTCGAGGTCTGCTACAAAAACATGCGCTTCCTTATCACGCACAACCCAACCAATGCATCACTAAGCAGCTTCATTGAGGTGAGAGACCATTCGGACATGTGCAACACAGATCATTTTAAAACATGAAAGATAACATACAGCTCTAAAAAGTCTGTAACTACTCTTATGTGACACATAATGCCACACATAAATGGACCACAACCAAGAGCAAAAGGTTTGTTCAAAATCATAAGTGTACTCTGTTTTGTCCCTCAAAACTTGTGCAATCTTGTTTCCTCAGGATCTGAAGAAGTATGGGGCAACAACAGTGGTGCGTGTGTGTGAAATCACCTACGATAAGACACCGCTGGAAAAGGATGGGATTACTGTTATGGTGAGATATATTTCTTTGTCATATTGACAAATAAGTGTCATCTGTAAAGTATTTTTTATTTGTAAATTAAAAAAAAAAAAATCTCCTCCCATGCAGTCCTTTCATTTTTTTTTGTTTGAAAATACAGACAAGGGGTTTGAGTAATGTATTATTTTTTTATTTAAACATTTCTACACTGTTATTGGTACTTCAATACTAGGTCTACTGATAAATGGCAAAATCTTGTTTCAAATGAACTTTTGGGAACATTCCACTAGGCATGGGCCGATTACCGGTTTCAAGGTATACCGCGATTTGAAAATTTAACGGTTTCAAAACCACTAATATTTTCCGTTATACCGTTCCTGCGGTATGCACTGTTTTTCATGTTGTCTCAAAGACTGAAAGTGGAGGAATCCCTCGGGTTGAGTGCAGTGTAGAGAGTAACACGACCCTCTTCCTCCTGTTGGTGCGAGCGAGCGGTCAGTCACGTGTGTGTAGGATGGCCGAACTTAAGGAGCTTCCCCTGGAACTTACGCGATCGGCAACCGGCCGTTTTTTGTCTCATTGCAGCTCGTCTCTGTTCTGGACTTGCACAAACTGTGTTGCAATGCAATCATTTTCCAAAATGTAATTTATGTGAAAATATGAAGTCTGTAAACGCCCGTTAACACAGGCCAGAGACGCTGAAGACAACGTATAATTCATGTATATGAATTATATAACTAAAAGTAACTGTAATTACAGATTTAGGTTAAATAAATATGTCAGTCTTTATTTGTCTTCTTTTTAGGAAACAAATCAAAGAAAAAGAAAACAAATTCTACTGTTCCTAATATATTGTGTTGCTCAAAAAGAAAATATATTGTGTTCAGCGGAAAAAGTTTTTTTTTTTTACCCAGTCATTTAAAGATAACACATTTTATTTTTGCTTAAGGTTATCATACCGTCAAAATCTCATACCGGCCCATGCCTATTAGAGACTGTACAGAAATGTAAATCTACACGCTAATACACACTACATACACGTAGTCACGCAATGCTGATGTTGTTAACATTAACAATTTGAGAACAAAGTATA